CCAAATCGAAATAGAAGAGTATGTTAAATGGGTAGCTCGAGAATCATCTCCCGTTGCCTTGACAACGCGGGAAATTGAGAGAGCATCTGAATATGACCCAGAGCTGAAAAGTGTACGAGAATAACGATGATGATCGTTTAATTCCATACTCTCGCAGCTAAGGCTGAATTACAGTATGGGTCAGTATTACATAGGTACAACAATAAATATACATCTTATTGATATCGAACGGTAACAAAATTATTAAGTCTGTCTGTGGCCCCTCTAAACCCATCTACTCGAACATTGCCGGTTCACAAAGAATAACCATGATGGACTTCTGTGGCTCTAGTCAGGATGTAACTTATAGGTTCAGTCCTCTGAACCGATGGAGGTCTTAAATACATCAGGAACACATCCTTCGCGTAAGGAATATTTATATACTAGGTCACTTACAACCCGGCGGGGCCAGTTCTTGTGCAAATTCTTTCCAGACCCATGACGGAATTTGATCAGGACCAGGGGGCTTTTTGGCCTTAATCGACCCGAGAGCCTCGAACGCCTTGCCATGTGTGACAAGAAATTCAGAGGAGACGGGGAGGGATTCACTAGCCAAGCTGGTGGTATCCAGTGGGGTAAAATGCGACGTTAGGCTGTATAAGAAATTATTGAATTGATCACATAGTGGAGCTACAGTTTGCGTTCCGGTATTCAATAGCTGGTGCCACCATTCAGATGAGCTCGACAGACCCCCCAGGGACTTCACCTTAGACCACCACCTTAACAGGGGGTATAAGCACAACAAAATGGTCACTTCGCCCTATTTTTGGAAGCTGGACCGGAGGTTGGAACAATTTGGGCCTGTTAGTTAGGGCCCAATCAAGAGTGCCAGTATTCCTTGTTAATGCTGTCACAATCTGACAAAGACCCGTCTTCGGTTTGATAACCTGGGCGTTGATTCCTGTGCTTGTTGGATTGAAATCACCAGTAACAATGACGAGGCCATCAGGATGCATGGTAACGAATGCCTTAGTGTTATTGGAGAGATGTTCAATTAGTCTCCTATTTTCTTCGGCACCATAGTTAGGAGAATGATAAACAACAGCGAGTAGAATGGTAGAATAGCCCTTGGCAGACGAAACGGTCTCGCAGATAGCCACACTGACTCAATATCCATGTTTTCAAATTCAGACAGTCGGGCGCATGGTAGGTGTAAATCTAGGTATATACGGACACCTCCACATTGTCCATCCGGTCTAACTCTCCTCATGCATGCATAATGACCTATCTGAATGGCAGAGTTTGGAATGTTAATATTCAACCATGTTTCAGTGAAACGATTAATTTCAGTTTTCGTCACATTTACAACAGCATTCAGTTCATTCATTTTTGGACGTAGAGATCTAACGTTCGCCATAAGAACAGTGGGAGTACATGTTATTGGGCGAGAAGACGGCATCACAAGTTCAGGGTCATTGTTGTTTATTGACCAATTCCGTTTACGTTTGGACCGTGTAGGCTTTCGAATTCCAATATCTTTAAGCTTCATCCATAGATCATTAAGAAGGCGGGATGGTGGAGTGTTTTTCCTAATGGCCTTAAGAGTTGATGACGAGTATAGCTTCCGAGGGTTTGCTACCGGTCCAACATGGCGACTAGAACACGATGGAATTGCTGCAACTTGTCCAGGCAGGAACTACTTGTAACATGGTTTAAACACCAACTGAGACCACAGAGAGAACTGTGATAATGCTAGGAGAGCATACGGAAACGATTTACGCACAGAAAAAATACGTGGCTGCCATTACTGACGACGCTGTCTCTTGAATGGGAGGTGGCATGCTATAGAAATCAAGGAGTACCTGCCAGTGCGAGGTGACTTAAGTGCGATTGGAAAGCTTGTTCTTCGTGGAACTCGAATAGTAGTAGCAAAGCAACTTCCTCGTCAGGCATTGAAGCTGGCACATGAAGGTCATCCTGGGATTGTGGCAATCATCGTTTGCGCACTAAATTTTGGTGGCTAGGCATTGACAAATGGGTGGAAAGAGTTTTTAAGACTTGTCATGGCTGTCAGTTAGTTTCACAACCGCCTAAACCTGAGCCAATGGCACGTACAGAGTTACCTCTTGTGCCATGGAAAAATCTAGCGGCTGACCTATTAGGTCCACTGCCTTCCGGTGATTACGTCTTTGTCGGGGTGGACTATTACAGTCGCTTCTTCGAAATGGAATTGACTAAATCTATTACATCCGAGAGGATTGTATCAATGTTGTCCAAGATTTTCTTCACTGATGGCCTTCCTTTGTCCCTGAGGACCGACAATGGGTCGCAGTTTGTCAGTGACAAAAACACCGGCGAACCACACCCTCAAAGCCCCAAGTAAATGGCGAGGTAGAAAGACAAAGCCGCAGTATCCTGAAACGCCTGTGTATTTCGTAAGCAGAGGGTCGTAACTGGAGATCAGAGATGGACATCTTCTTAATGATGTATCGTAGTACTCCTCACTCTACAACTGGGGTTAACCCGGCAGAATTGCGGTTGTTTGGAAGACGCATCAGGACCAAACTACCCCAACTGCAAGAATTCAGTGTTGAAGATGAAGTCAGAGACCGTGACAGTGAAAGAAAAGAGAAGGGGAAGGTGTATGCAGACTGCAAAAGAAAGGCACATGAAAGCGCGATTTAAGGTGATAAGGTGTTGTTGAGACAGGAGAAAGAAAACAAAATGTCGACGCCATACAAACAGTCTCCCTTTACAGTTGTTCAGAAGACTGGGAATAGTGTCCTTGTCGAGGCTGATGGTGTACAGTACCGTAGGAATGTGACCCATGTGAAAAAGTATCTCGAGCAAGATAATGTACCCCAAGCCACCAGTAGATCGTCATATACCACAGAGGCTCAAGGAGTAACACCGAGTTCACCAAACCAAGAGTTTAGAGAATCTGTAAATGTTTCTCCTGGAGTGACTAATGGAGACAAACCATGGAATACAAATCATCAAACGATACTACTACGGGGCAAAGTGATTGTACTTCCACTTCACGTCCATCAAGAATAAAACGACTACCGTCTAGATTTCAGGACCATGTGCTAGGCAGTGTTCAGCTGGCACCGGAGTAGAACTCTTAGACCCAGACGTAAACTGGAACGTTGAACTGAACTTGAACTGTTTGTTGTTGTGGTACACTTCTAATTTATGCCAGTTTCAAGTGTTCAAAAACTGTTAGAACTTTCAGAAGACATTCAGATACATTTGCATGCGTATTAAGTTGATTAGGTTTATTCGGTTTGTTTTCTCTTCAACCTAACAAATAATTCAAAGAAGGGAGGGATGTAGCGTTTGTGACTGTTTAGGTGTACCCTCTCCAACCCCCTTGTTTGTATATCGGAGCATGTGTGTTTGGATGTTGATGATTCAACAACGTGTTCGATTCTTGCAATGATGTTGCTTACTGTTTGTGATTAAATCCGAATCATCCTGGGTTAAATCTGTAAATACACCTACAGTATTATCTCTGAATTACGAATTGATTTCAAGTTGATATTTAAGTTTGACTCATAGCAATTATCAATTGAATGTCGACGGCAATCTCGGATTACATTACTTTTGCTTTACTGAACTCTGCGAATGGTCAAGAAAATCAAGAAATGGCCCCCTTCTCCACCAAGTAGTGGCAAAACTGAAGGCAATCGCAACTTGGCAGCTCGCTTTTTTATGCTTTTCTTGATTTTTATTTTTCATTGACCACTTTTCAATTGTATTAATCTCACTCAACTGATAATTAGTGGACAATCGCCAACCCAACTTCTCGACAAGCTCATAGACCGAGCTCATCTGCATCTGACGAGCTAGAATAGAGCACTTGCCGATTAAGTGTCCTTAAACCTGTCAAAACCTTAGGGATCAAAACGCCGGGCCAATAGTAGAAAACACAAAGAGCCACAAAGAACTCTGGCAGTGTAAAGTGAGGGCCGTGATTGTTCGTAACGTGAGTGACTAGGGCGAGATTTCCTCTAGTTTTTCATCTGATCAGTTGAGAGGCTGGTGTGAATTTTCAACAACAATAACAGAGCAAATATAAGCAAAATCAACTCAGTCCCAGATAATTTTCTACATATTACATTTTTAGGTAATGCCCTGGTTCATTTGACGAGCAAGTTAGGTTATTTCATGCTTTTCTTTAAACCAATTTGCATCAACAAAATGTCATGCTTTAAATGATAAAGAAGACAAGCTCAGGCTTGACGAAAAAGGCTAGGAATATGTGCAGTGAAGATAATACGCAGACTTTCTGGTGTCCGTCAGTTCTATCTAGATGTTTTTTTTATCTGAACTACGTCTTGTCCTTTACAATGTAAGCTCAGTGTTATGGTCAATAGGAAATTCAGCGACTGCTATCTAAGTAAAGCCGGTTTATAAATGTTCTGGTCTGAAGCCTTCAGTCGATTATCGGCATGGGTCAAATGACTGATCGTTTTATAAATCCTTCGGTTCGCACCAAGTCTCCTTCATCGCCCAGTTCGTCCTTCATGTCGGCTTGTTGGAGAGTTAATCAGTTAAACAGTTTGTCAGATATTCCTTCAGTGATTCGGACAATTGGTAGGTCAATTGATCTGCTAGTCAGTTCACTCATTCAGTCAATTCGTCAAGATAGTGCAAGCTGGCTTTCAAACATGGGTATGAGCTGATCAGATTAGAAGACCCATTCAGTTGGTATTGTTGGGGTGTAAGGTATGAAGAGTTCATATCCTCTTATAGATATCTGATTCGTGATTGGTCTAGAGAATTCTTATCACCAATATGCGCTCCCTGATTCGTCGATTCTCATAGTGATCCCCTCAACAATTCTCAGCCAGTTCATACATTCTAAAGGAATTGTAGAAATCAAGGTCGAAGTTTCGCTTTCCCTTCAAAGAGGAGGGAAAGGCGCCTGGGAACGAGGTTGCTTTAGTCGTAAAGCTCCAGAAAAGAAGCCCTGTCTCCAATTCATCTCGCTCAATTTATTTTTAACAGTAAAAACTACAAAAAATACAATATAGAACTGAACTGAACTTAAAAAAACTAAGAGTAAACAAATATTTCAAATTCAGCGACAAGAAAAAATTATACTTCTCAATTCCACACTTCTGACAATATTTATCACACGGTACACTTTATTACTAGTTGTGATGCATACGATTTCTTTCTGGTATTGTTACAAGTATGACACACTAAAGGACAATAGTTTAAATTTGTAAGTTTGTTATCACTCATTACAAAAGTTTATTATCTTATCTTAATAAGCATATGATTTAAGGACCATAAGCCTCAATAAGGCTGGGAATCGTGGAAAGACCTTAGTAGTATTCACTAGATTAGATGCTGCAAGTATAAAAGAGCGACTAAAAGTATTCATACACTCCAGTGGAAAGCAGCAATGCTAGATACATGATATGACCATTTACCAAGATACATTTAAAAAATCTTCAGAACTTTTCAAAGGTAGAAGAGTACACAATCCGGTCTAAGTTTTCAAGTTCTTATCAGTATTAGTAAAGGCAATTCCTTTCGTGCAACTGAGCAACAAGTTTAAGCTCCAGGAATAGCCGTCTGTACTGGTGCTATTTCACAGGCCTCGTTGTAACTCCCACACTTCCACCCACTGATCTCTTTGGGCTTCAAGCAGATGAAACAAAATTCTTTGCCGCATCGACAGGTCATGTGCTTACAGGCCTGCACGTGTTCAATCAGCATACCGCATGAAATGCATGCACGGAGGGCGGGGCATCCTGTCACTCCAACAATTTCCTTCTTGGAGCACTCACGTAGAATCTTCGGACGTTTGTCTTCTCCACCACAATCTGCATTTCCTAGAAATGAATGGTACAGAAATTTCTGCTTTAAATAGTACGAACAAAGAGAAGTTGGATGTTTTTGGAAAGAAAACTAACCAACAAATGAAAATGAGAGAGAAAAAACTGGAACGGAAGAGGAAAAATTGTCATGCAGCAGAAATGTGGTGAGATACCAAAACAAACTCGAGTGGGCTAAGTCTCATAAGGGCGATGGCATTCCTCTGGAATCGAAAACTGGGTTGATTTCAAAGAACCTAGTCATCATTTAAAGGTGCCAAGCCATGCGGTTTAAGACACTTTCCTCACCAGCAGGCTTGTTTGGTGAGGATCAATTGTTCACATTCATAGAAGATAACTTTAACACATTATCTCATGAACTATAGGTGACATTATATTGTCCTGGCTTTCCCAATCCCTTTTATTCCTGCCTACAAAAGAGAGACTCACAGCCTTAACTATGCCTACCACACTTTGTTGTACTGGAACTGTCGACCCACTCCTGCAAGCAGTGCCAGCAGAACTGGAAAACTTTATGTAGTTTATTTCGGCAAAAAGTGCAAGTCAATCGTACATCTTTTTTGTTGACTCGATCCACGAAGGATTTACAGCTGGGACATTCTTGAATACCCATGGCCTTGAACATATAATTCTTAGAGATCTTCTTCTCAAACTCCATTTTCTCTGCATCTGTCAAAACAGCCAAGCGTCGAACAACTACATAGTCCCATTCTTTCCCACAGTAGACCGGGGAAGTATCCTGGCTGATGTAAGGACACAGAAATCGCGATCTACCTGCATCAAGGAGGCTGCGACAGTAAATGGTCAGAGATTCTGGAGCTTTGGAAACAATGAAAAATAAAGTAAGTTTAAATCATGCATCTATTGCAGACTTCGCAAACATTTCTAAATCTGGCTCCTGAAAAAATTCATTGTGCAAAAGTAAACTTGGTCTTGGAGAAGCATTTAGCCTTGTTAAAGGGGAACTGAAGCCTAAAATTGGTATATTGTTTGCATTCATTTCTAGTAAGCTTTAGAGGAGTAAGATTAAGTGTCGATATTCATTTTCGTTCACTTCTTGTTTTTTACGAGAAAATTCGATTTGAAGTTGCCTTTTTCCCGCTTTTGGGGCTGTAAGACCGTCGGCTCAAAATAGGTCAGCAGGGTTTGAAGTTTGAAGTTTATTTATTCATAAATGCATAGCAGTTATATAACTGAATTGCGTATTTACTCACATAATACAGATAGTAAAATTAAACTAATTTAGATATTAACTACTTAGTTATTAAAAAGCGTTCAATCGGCTAAAAAAAGGAAAGCTAAAATGAGTTCGCTTTAAGACATGAGGAAATATTAAAACTATTCTTAAAACGACTGGTTTTGAAGGGCTGTACATTAAAAGATCGCACACGCCTTAACAAGTGGGTAGTTTCATGTGCTGCTGGTATTAACTTTTGAAGACGGTGATAGCTGTCATTTACATTTGTCGAAAAGTGACTCACATATTTCGTCGTGATGGATGACTAATTCTTTAAATTTCATAATATCCAGGGCCTCATGATAGCTATGACCAGGACAGATAATGGACATTGCTCTCTTTTGTACGTGTTCTAATTCTCGTATTAAATATTTAGGCAAACTATAGTGAAAAACCGGTACTGCATAGTCCATGACTGATCTAATGCAACTAGAATAAAAGGACCTAGATCAGTACGAGCAACCTTGGCTCTCTTAAGCTGAATCAAGAAATATAATTACTTAGAGGCTTTTTTAACAATTTCATTAATATGGGTATTCCAGGTCAAATTACGGGAGATATTAAGACCCAAAAGCTTTACATTTTCTACCACTTTTAAAGCATCGCCATTGCTGAGAATGGGCTCAAATTCTTGCTGGAACTTTGAAAAGGATATTCGTATCTCTTAACACTTTTCATTGTTCGATTGGACTCTATTTTCCAGAGACCATTGTATTACTCTATCTGTATGACGCTGTGCGTTACTAAGCTCCCCTTTTGCAACCGTCTCGGAGATGGTGGTGTCATCTACATATTTCCATAAGCGAGCATTTTCTACTACTAGATCGTTGACCATAATTAAGAAAAGCCAAGGCCCTAGTTTGGTTCCCTGGGGGACGCCCGATGGTACTGATCCCTACTCAGATACACATCCCTCACTAAGTTTGATTCTTTGATATCTGTCTGACAAGAAGTCGATAACCCAATTAATTACGCTATTTGGCACGTTTAACTTACATAATTTCTTTATAAGGATGCTATGGTCAATTAAATCATAGGCCTTACGATAATCGAACTAAATAGTTCTTAGAGTAGCACCATTCTCGTCGGTGCCCTCAGACCAAACAAGAAGCATGTCCTGTAAAGCGAAGGTGGTGGAAGACCTTGGTACTGCACCATACTGATTCATATCGAGATTATCAAGAACGGCAGGCATGATGTAATCGCGTACCACGAACTCCTCTGCCACCTTCGAGATACATGGAGTGAGTGAGATGGGTCTAAGATCTTTCTTTAGGATTTGCACGGGTTTTTTCTTAGGAAGCGGGGTCGTTTATGACTTCAGTGGTGGGGAACCAACTTAAGAAAAACAACTGTTACTATTTCATTTTCCTAGTTAATCCCCATTACATGTCACGCAACTTCAATAACTCCATAACCAAACCAAATTTCTGTAGGAAGAGTACGGTTTTATTATCTCTCTTCTCCACCAGTGACGTAAGAGCGAGCTAAAATGACCGCTGACATCGCTTTTCTGAGCCGCCGTACTACGAGGCCAAAATACCACTTTAAACTATTTTTCCGAGGCGAAGTTAGGCCCAAAGACTGAAAAAAACCCTCGAACATTGTTATTTGAACTATAAGCTGCCATTTAAAAATAGTTCATTTTTAGGCTTCAGTTCCCATTTAACAAGGATTACTGAAGCATATTACATGATGCATAGTTAGCTTTGCTGATGTTGCTCGATCAGAATAGATCGGAATTATCTTTGTCATTTTGAACTCATGATGTATCGACGAAAATAGTCAAGTAGCATAAATATCAATTGTACCGTAAGAGTTCTGTAAAGACCATAACTGTAAGTACTGTAACTCAATGTATGTAGAGAATTCTGTGCCAGTAACTGTTCAGGAGAACGTGACGTTGTGTTACATGTAACGTATTTAGAAATGAGTGACAGGGATCAAATGTCAAGTACTTTTACTTAGTTCGACCTTTTGCCTTGTGGAGACCGAGAATTCGCCATGGAGGGTTTTTCCTCAGTCAAAATAAAGTAAAACGTTGAGTTTAACCGCGGATTTATTGGGTCGTTCTCAACAGTATCCTTAATGTTAGTATTTTAAAAGTGTTCTGCGTGTGGTGATAATAAATATATATGTATAAAAAAAAAGAATTTCACCTTGCAGTATCAATACAAAATCAAGCAGAGAAAGGATGAGAATGAAGAAAATTATCGATTAGGGGATTATCAGTTGATCCAATATCTAATTTTCTAAACCAATAATTCTAAGGCAGACAGTAAGGAGAATTACTAATGGATCATGGGAATGAAAGGACAATCTTGAAACAACTTACTAATAGCGTGCCCGCAAGGCATCTTGGCTCTTTTGTTTTCCGGATCATCATCCCATGTGATCATATCTGGGGCATCACTGAGTTCCACGTCATCATCCAACACTTTCTCAGACCCGCCACGCAAACGTAAGACAAGAAACAAAGTGGAGCTTTTTTCTATTCCGTATGTTGACAGGCGCGTCTGCTCATTGCTTTCATCTGTGATCCTGATTTCCTTTCCACCGAATATCAAGCGTTGTTCATCCACTGGTATACCATTCTCTTCATTCAACAACCCATATAATCTCGCAATCGTAGCATCCTATAAAAAGAAAAAAAAAGTGCCTTGTGCCTGTTTATTTTTAGCTGCCTAATTTACTAAACATACCAATATCATTTCGACTACACTGAAAATAACAAAAGAACTTATAATAACAATAACAATAATGATAACATTAATAATAATACTGAAAATGACAATAAAGGCAATGATAATAGTAACGTTAATTAAAATGTTTATTGTGATGATAGTGGTAGGGGAACTGAGATGGTAATGGTTATGATAATGACAATGACTAATCGAGTCTCTACATAAAGTATAACATAAAAATATCCATAAAACTACCCTATTCCAGCCAACACATTGTCTAAAAAATAATTACTTCAAATGTTTATAGGACATGTTGTTGTTCACGTTCCTCATGAGCAGAGTGAAGCAATGCGTAGGATGGCAAATGAGACCATAGCCTGCACTCGCGTTATAATGATAATAATAATGATGAAAAAAGAATAGTTCAAACCCAATTAGACCCAATTAATAACTTAGCACAGGCACCCCAGTAACACTCATCGCACCTACGTGACAAAATTAAAAGAGAGCGTTACACGTGTGACGCTAGCCATTCTACTTAAGACAAGAGCAGTCTTGAAACGAGAATGGCGCCGCAGGGTGACACGAACTACAAAAGTCGCAGTGCAAGCAAGTGAGCATACAATGAACATTTAGAATCAAATTTTTTCACATTTCTAAATTTGTTTGCGTCGACTGACTACGCAAAAATATATTTAAATCAAAGGTGTACCTCTTCAATGTTAATGGTGGTTGTTCGTCCTTGTAAACCGCTTACAAATATTTGTATGATCTTCGGCCGCATTCTGATGTGGAGGAGGTTGAAGGAGGAAATAATCAATATTTAAAGTACCCAAAATTTCCCACGGCAACTTAACCCCAGCAAATGTAGGGTAAAATTGAGCCACAGGCAATCTTTGATCGTACCTTTCTTGGCTCACTAATAACGGATTGTAACCAAAGTCGTTCACTTCACGACCGCCCCTCAGAGGTTTGTGTCGACTCAACTACTTTTCTTTTAAGCATGTGAAACTGAAACTGAAACTAGTTACATCATTTCAAAGGAAAGTCCCCGATTATTATTCAAATAGTGACTGAATGTTTTCACGGAACAGATTTTGAAATTTAGAGGCTTAAACGCTGCTTCTGTTCGCGTACACAACCCATGTCTTGGTTCTGGGAACAATTCCAAAATTAGTCATTGCAATTTTTCAACGCTTCAGTTTTTGAAAAGACAAAAACATTTTTCCGGCAAAAACTGCAGCTCAACCACCAGAACAAAGAGAGAGTTATATCATCGCTCCTATTATGGTAATGACCTCTGTGCTGAGCCTACCACAGAGGAAGTTTGTTTGTCGCCGATCAGAGGGAAAACACCGTGTGTAAAGTTGGAGTTGACGTTACTGTAAAAGGCAAATGCTATCTAAGACAAATTGTTCATTTTACGAGTTGTTGTCAGATCAAGCTAAAACGGCTTTAAGTGAATTGAATGTGGAGTATTCTTTCCTGGCAAAATGCGCTAAAAATCATACTAGGTTCGGCAAGAATACAGCAGTGAGAGTACTGAACCCCTCTCCCTCTCCCACAGTGACTCATATCAAGGGAAATTCCCTTGAAAACAAAGCATAATTTGTCCCTTCAAACAATGAGGGTAATTTTCCCAGCAACATCGAACCATTAATGTTCCACGGTGTTTTGTATCGAGAAAGCGAGACTTCCGAGCACGTACAATGAGCCTTAGAAGAGATTTCGTTTCAAGGTAAGAGGGGTCTTCGCTTCATCTAGCATTTAGTTGTTTAAGTTAAAGAGGTTGATTTGAAAATTTCAGGTAAAATGAAATTAAGGTGGTTCCGTCGCTCCAACATGTATAAGTTCGATTTGCAAATACGAAGCATACAAGATCTTTTCACTTCTAAATTTGAGGCACCGCAGAATAACCTGGATGCATTGAATACTCTGTACGAAAAAATTAATCGAGGTTTACACACATTTATAATTGTCTTCAAGGCTAATAATTTACGGCAAGATTCGCGTTACTTTGCATACATTCCACTTGATCGACAGGGGGAGGGAAGGGTAAGTGTAAGTTTCGTAAGAAGTTCTGTTGTTTATGAAAGGTCTCCACTTCTCATGGCCAGCGGCATTTACCAAGCCAAGAAGCCCTGGCTTGTGTCTCTGCGAAGTAGAAAGGACACCGGACACTGATAGAAACATCCGTTTGAGTTGATGAACGTTCCTGTAATTTTCTCCTGGCTTTGATTTATTTTGCAAGTCTGATAGTCGAATTGGACTCGTAGGCAATGAAATATTTGTTGATTTGTTTTAGTCGTTGGCGCTCTTAAAAGAGACTCAGCTGTTAAATTTCAACATATCTTATACATTGTAATGAAAAAAATACTTTGAGGCGCTCAAATTATCATTTGTAACATAGGGTGCAGAAGGAGCTAAAACAACTGCAGTCCATGAAGCCTCATGGAATCGAAGTGACACTTCCATCTGACAGTCTTCAGTTGTGGGAGGCTGTGGTACCGGGACCTAAAGACTCCTTTTATGATGGTAATTGTCAACTAACTATTGCTGAAACAAACTACTACTCATATCAAAAATCTACCTTCATCAATGACTTACCATAAATTGATTTCAAGTTGATATTTAAGTTTAATCCTAAAACAATTATCCATTGACTGTCGGAGGGTATCCCGGATTACATTACTTTAGCTTTACTGAACTTTGTGAATGGTCTACTAACTATGGCCTAAAAAATCTAAATATACCTCCTCCACCAATCAGAAGCAAAACTGAAGGTAATCCCAACTTGGCAGCTCGCGTTGTCATGCATACCTCTCAAAAATTTGTCTTGATCATTTTTTATTTTTCCTTGACCATTTGTGATATTTTATTTTTGTCTCGACTTGCGGTTTTAATTATATTAATCTCACTCAACCGATATTTAGTGGATAATCGCCTACCCAACTTCTCCACAAGCTCATAGACTAAGCTCATCTGCATCTGACGAGCTTAACTGATTAGAGCGTTTGTTGATTGAGTGTCCTTAACCCGGTCAAAACCTCGGGGATCAGAACGGCCAATGGTAGAAAACACAAAGAGCCACCAAGAACTCTGGCAGTGGAAAGTGAGGGCCGTGATTGACCAAGGCAGAATTTCCTTTAGTTTTGCATCTGATCAGTTGAAAGGCTGGCGAGAGTTTTCAAGAACAATAACAGAGCGAATAGAAGCAAAACCAACTCAGTCCCAGATTATTTTCTACCTATCACATTTTTAGGTAATGCCCTGATTCATTTGACGAGCATGTTAGGTTATTTCACGCCTTTCCTTAAACTCGTTAGCATCAGCAAAATGTTATGCTTTTTTTAATTTTCAGGAGGACTATTCAAAGTTCAAGTTTATTTACCGTATCCTTACTAGCTTCTTTCTTTAATGCAACGTACCGTATTAAAATAGGTTCCTTCCGTTTCAGAAAAAAAAAACTATATTAAGTGGACCTCCTATTAGGCAGACACCAGCCAAAGTCTTGAAATTTTCTTCTCGCATTAACCGCAAACTCTACTAAATGGATGAACGGACTCAAGACTACATGTTCTCTTGACGAACGCATTCACCAAACTGAGCCCCAGTCTCGTCCCTAATTCCGGCGTCTATGTATATCGGACACTTTGAGATATTCTACAGGAATATTCCCTTGTTTACACAATGGGAAAACACGAACGATTTTTATGAAAAAGTTCAATACACATTATTGACGGTTATAGACATGTAAGAGTCAGATTTGTCAATAAGAGGCGTTGTACTACAAGCGAAAATACAATTCGCAACACGCATCTTCTTCTTCTTCAACCATTCTGCAATCCAATCTCTCTTCGGCGATCTACCATAAGTACTCACTAGTCCAATTATCTCAACCCCTTCTACAGAAAACCACAAACCTATAGCTTAATTAACAAGTACTCCGAAGAGGCTGACTAAGGCAGTATTTAATAGCCCATTTCCGAATTACCCTTGGCCTCATTTTCAAAACGAGTCCTGGTGCTCATCCTTTCATATGATTATAAGTTTTCATTCACATGCAAATTAAACTCATTTTCACAAGAATGGTTGAGCACCAGGCCTCGTTTTGAAAATGAGGCCAAGGGTAATTCGGAAATGGGCTATTTATCAACCACATTTTATAGGAGGGGTCGCTTTTTTCGTCGCATAGTTGTTGTTTTTTAACAAATTTGCAACTGTATACGGCTGAGTCCATTTCAATTAAGCTAAGTCTAGGAGGGCTAATTTAAACTTTTCACCAACTTTATATCCTTGACTCTTAATTTGACCATTGTCTAGTGAAAATTACCCTCTTGGGCCGCCGACGGTAAGTAATTCTTAATCTTCCTAAACGCTTGTATATCTATAACTATGGTTACAAGACTGATTTTAAACGAAAAGACATTGCGTAAAATTGGTAAATATTTTGTTGGCATCTAAAACGAATGCATTATCGAAATTAATACTTTCAAAATTTCGCTTCAATTTATGGTTTTCACGTTTTCTCGTGAGGAAAGCGTCAAGAACACGAGGTTGCTAGATTTAACAGAACCATCAGGTGGTTCTTTTGTTGTTCTACATGTGAAAGAGGAAGAGGGAGATATCATGTGTCTGCCATTTTGTTTTCTCACCTCAGGTTCGTTTTCTGTCTCCAATATATCACTTGAATGTGAGCCCGTCAAATGGTCACGTGTGCCTGGGATTTCTGACCGACGAAAGCTGGTTACCAACCCGCTGTGTTCAAGATGTTTTGAGTGGAGTATTCGCTCTGCTCATTCGTCCTGAGTTGGCAAACGCCGCTGACCACACACTACTCGAGATGTACAATAACAACAAAGTGGCATACCAAGAAAAGGCCAGGAAGAGTACTTTGAACGCCAAATGAAGGGAAAATACGAAGTTTGTTACATTTGCTAATGTGATCAGTCCACTGCCTTTGACATGTTTCTGAAATAATATTTACCAGGTTGTCTGTGCTGTTAAAACTATTCTTTTTTTTAAGATAAGCATTTGAGGGCCAAATGAAGATCATCATTTGTGAAGGAAACGTCGCCATATCCAACCGTATGGTTTCCCAGAAAAATAAAATGATCTGGATACGCTTCTAGTCGTTTAATAAGCAAGTTGTACAGAAAAATTAATGCCACATTCAATACTTAAAAAAAAAGGTATGCGTTACTTTAAGTCGCTCTGATTAAGGAAACTCTACTTAACGTTTTTAATAATCCCTTCTAACGTTTAAAATAATCTCTGAAGCCTTAACAAAAAGACAAAGTTCCAGCAGACCTAACAGAAACATCTATGCCACATAAAATACTCAACAAGTTCATAAATGTGTTACTTTAAATCACGCTGATTAAGGAAACTCTACTTGACATTTTTAACAATTCCTTCTAACGTTTAAAATCATCCCTACCAGCAGACTTTACAAGCTTAGCTAAAATCAAAGGCAACTTTAGACATTTTTTCAATTCAAGGAAAAGAAAAAAAATGTCAATCCCGCTCTCCGATAACTAAGGTGTTGGTGCTGCACCAGCAGCAACACATGCAACCATGCATGTACCCTGGGCAGCATTGCATGCCAGAATAGCGCCTGGAACTCCTATGCCTCCTGTGGAAACACCGGCTGTACCACCAGCTGCAGCCACACAGTCTACCCAGACGGTGTTACATCCTGTCTGGCAAATTCCGTAGGCCTGTAAACCCGACTGAGCAATCTGGATAAACATGGCCAACACCACTATAAACTTTACGACAAAAGCCATTTCACTGTTCTTGTGCTGAAAGTTAATTATCAATCAAAGTGAGATGTCTAGAACATCATTTCAGTTGGACACCTAACCTTTATTATTCGAATGCACAAATCGCTATCTGATAAATAGCTTATTTGGTTGTATCAACTAAGTTGAAATTGTAAATTGGCCACCGTAAAGAGTTTAAAAGCTGACGTTTCGAGCGTTAGCCCTTCGTCATTCGCTCTAACGAAGGGCTAATGCTCGAAACGTCAGCTTTTTAACTCTTTACGGTGGCCAATTTACAATTTCAACTTAGTTGATAGAACTAAATTACCTTGTTACCCCCACCGACGCAGCACGGCACAGTTTCTTTATTTATCCCCTTGATAAATAGCTTAGTACGTTTTCCTAATGCTTCTTTACCCCGAGTCGATTGCACCGGTCTAGCCTTAAACAAATGTGACCTTATCTCGCCGTTTGCGACTATGCAATCGAATGAAAAGCGCAAGAATCACACGATTATGTCGAAAATGGAAGGGTGATAACGCTTGCCAAAACTTTCGCAACCTTGTCACAAATGTCTTTGATCTTTTGGTTCATTAGACGCTAAATCTTTATTGCTAAAAGTGTCACTTATTTAATGTGTTGGACTATTGGGGTGAAACTAGCTAGAACACCAAGCGCAAACGGGAGGCACCAGAAGTTTGATCAAGAACTCTTATGTCACTCTCTGAGTCTCTGTCTTTCTCTTTCTAATTCAGCTCCAAGTAAATGCTCTCAAATACCCTATCGGTAAGCATAGAAGAGTAAACCTATTTCTACAACGTAAACCCACACAATTTCAAGAGATATTCGAAATGAACAACAACGCACTTGAAAAACAACCAATCTTCGAGAACAAAAACCTAACCAAAACTTTAAGACTTTAAACGAGGTCAAGAACAAACCCAAACACGGCCACCGATGACGATTATCGCGGGAGAATTAACCCCTTACAAAGGCCAACGACCAAAGAGTAAAATTAAATGTGTAGTCTTGCAGCACATAAAAATCCAGGGCTCGCCTAGACTCGCATAAGGATTTCAAGATGATCTAACGGGCCTAAGCTAAACAAGAAACCTTTTCAGCTTCATACGATTGGTCACGTGGTCTGAACTAGGTAAGCAGCAGTCGCGCCTATTTAACAATTGGTTTATGCTTTAGCGTGCACTATCGAGTTATGGAGCACGCGGGAAGTTTGGAGAGCGCGAAAGAAGCGTAAGAGTTGCCCGAGGCAATAGCCGAGGGCAACTCTAGTTTCTTGAGTGCTCTCCAAACTTCCCAGGTGCTCCATAACTCGATAGCCTCGATAGTGCACAGCTAAAAGCATGAACCAATTAATTTGAATATATCAACAAAGTTGAAATGGTAAATTGGGCACCGTTACGATTATAGACATTATAGAAGCTGACGTTTCGAGCGTTAGCCCTTCGTCGGAGCGAATGAACCAATTGTTTTATAACATAGCCGGTGGAATTGTGCATCAAATCCGACGCGAAAAACGGACAACGATATCAGAAGTGATTGTTCTCGATGAGCGAAATATTTGTTTGTGTTCAGTTGTCCTACCGTCATGTTTTCCATCGGAGTTTGTATTTGTTTCTCATGACACCAAGCTACAATAAAAACAAGTTTTCTTTGAGTTAAAAAAAAAAAAACCATTTAAAAGTTATTTTCGTGAAGGAAACCCAGACAGAAAGACTGTTATCGCTACATCTGTAATTCGATGTCATTAAATGTGGTAATGACTTTTGATCATGACTAAAACACCACACGAGTACATACGGGTAGCATACGAGTAACATACGAGTAACATACGAGTAACATACGGATACATACCTACGACTAACATACGAGTAGCATACGACCGTACGAGTAACATACGGATACATCCGAATACGTACGAGTAAAAAATTCCGAAAAAATACGAGTAAAATTCATACGAGTAAATTTTTATGCAAAGTAACGACAACTTAACTATAAATATAACATGAAAAATATATTTGATATTTACTCGTCATGCATTACTTCCCCGACTAAGGAAAGATTGCGTTACGAGAGCAAAGATTCTTGATATTAAAGTGGTGGCCTGGGGTCCTGCCACTGTTAGTTACACCTACATTTCGGTTCCTTTCTCAACTGTGTCATCTGTAAATCAGTATTACCCTCTTCAATCTGTTCAGTGCACAGTGAAGATTGAACGCGTGAAGACCATCCACTGCACGACAGGCCGATTTTTGCGCACATCGGATTACCTGGCATGACCCCAGGGCACCAGTTTAATATCAAAGATCTTTGCTCTTGTAACGCAATATTTCCTTAGTCGGGGAAGTAATGCGTGACGAGCAAATATCA